TTAACCTTTTAATAAACATATACATAATAAGTGTATTGTAAGAATCTGGATGTAGGAATCAAGTCAGGAGTGTGCGCAACTTCTGAACTTGACAACCTTAAAAGGTGCAGCAGTATCGCTCGATAACTCGCATGGGCGCCGTTCCACTGTAATGCTCAAATGATTTCCAAACAAATTACAAAGCTGCTTTCGCTTTCATCAAAATGTCAAATTCAAAGTATAGCGAAACTCACGATAGCTCTAAAACGTGACTCTCCTTTAGCAATATTGGTCTCATATTTCCGGATATCAGAATTAATCCCTATTTATTACTTTCTAAATTTTCTTGTACGCTCTGCTTATGCACCCTGTCATCAGTTTTAACCCTACGATGGCAAAGAGGGTGACTCTGGATGTCGAACTGTGAAGTACAGCAGAGGCTTATCCTTCAGCAAGGTCTTCCAAGATTAGAAAGAGCTCGACGTTTCTGGCACCCCGGATGCCCAGCTAAGAGTAGGCCATGCCAAAGGCCCCACCTTCTGGCTGATTCAGTTGCTAGAGGGTTCCTTGATCCATATAGGTCAGCGATTGCCTCTGGTGAAAGATTAACAAGCCCTGACAAGGGAGGGCGCGCAGGAGTTCCCAAAGCCTCGCCGCTTCTCCCTGGAGCAACTAATTAGGCGTCCTGCAGGAACCTAACACCTTCCAAGCGCTAGGCTCTGACTCCGCCCATTGTCTACCCGCAGATTGCTCTGCGCAGGGCTAGGCAACGGATGTGCGAACTCAAGACAAAGAAGAAGGATTAACAAGATGAAACTTGCATAATGCCTCGATATCATATGTCTAATAAAATTAGGTGGTAATTGAGCGTGAAATTGCACATCAAACAGATAATAATACGTACTGGAGCCAGATTTTCAAATCAGGAGAAAAATCGTAACACCTTTGGATAACTGTTTCGTAGGAACTCTATGGATCTGAAAAAGTCGCACGAATTTATTCTTCATTTTTATGCCGTATCTCTATTCACCATTTCAATAAATGTAGCAATAGCGAGGTTTCCAATTAGCATTAGGGTTAGAAAGAGCTGCAAAAGTGATTTAAATATTTTCTCGTGATGTATTTCTTTAAAAAATAAGTCGGAGTTTGTTGCAAATAATGAACATAGCTTAAACTATTTACCAAGCATATCATAGCTCTTGCTTAAGAATTTGGAGATTTGATGCCATATACATCAAATCAAATACCCAGCGCTGGTACGAACGATACTGGATAAGTTTAGCTTGTGATATAGAGAATATCAAACAATCTTAGTACGTTGTGATTTTATGAGCTCGATGTTATGAGCATATGAAATATTATCCTGTATAATAATGTTCAGTTAAGGAGGTAAGAGGAATCTCCACGAGGATACATTTGAAGAATTACAAGAGATCATCTTTTTAACCTTCTCTTCTTCTTGCACTTGAGTTCGCACATCCGTCTCCTGGTCCTGCTCAGACCATTCTGTGGATAAA